CTCACAGTGCATATGTAGGATAACATGTCTACTATGTTTGCATATCACTGGTATATCTGAATATCCGACATGATGTGCATTACGTTAATAAACCTTGGTCAAGTGCCGTAACATTGCTCTCTCCTACCATCCAAAGATGCCCAGCTCAGTTCTACATCTCTTCATTTGTTCTCTCCTGTTGCCCATCGTATCTTGGATTTGCTCCCCCTCCAGGATCCCCTCACTTCCTCTCTTTCTTCTTTCCTACCCCATCATCCAGTTTCCAATCAAATTTCAGCATCTACGCATTTGGGGGGCAGGGGTTAGGGAAACTATTCTGCTATGCCAAAAAACCAATGGATAATATATACTGCTGGAATCATAATGAAGGTGATAAAGTCTTGTGACTTGGTGTGTCTTATTTCCAATGAGCACAAACAAAAGGGATGGGCAATTTTGTAATTAAAAGTAATGACTTCTTTAACATTTGCTTTTCTGGCCCACCTACCCACCCAAGATCTGGAAATTGTAAATGAGCTGGCTTTGGTTCCATGACCCAGTCACTGAGAAACAAGCACAGGATTTAGTTCTAAGCTGACTGCGACAGCTCTGAAGTATGTTTGGAGGGACAAGTTTTAATCACTTTCTAACTGGGAAGCTGCTGCCTTATCGCTTTTTGATAACCGATGGGATGCAGTCACAGATGAAGCATCGGTTTGGGTCACTGTGTATCTGGCATGAACTTGAGCCTTTGCCTTAAGAGGCAAAGAATTTTTTTAGAGTTTGGGTCACAAGAAGTCCCATCAAGCACAGCCCAATATTAAAAGATTCTGGGGATTGTCCTAAGACAAGGGAGCAATGTATATATCAACCTGAGTTTCTGGAGCCCAAAAACAAAGATAATGCATAAATATGCTTTATGTTGGAATTCATTCAGTGATACCAAGAAAAAAACAGAGATTTGCATGGCTCTCCCTTATACAGGAAAGACTAAGGCCTCTTGATCTTCCACCCAAAAGGGTCTTAAATCTTTACAACTATTTATTTATCTCTTTAAAATATTTATACCCTATCTTTTTTCCCCCCTCAAGAGGACCCTAGGTGGCTTACAGCATTAAAACAAACAATGTGAAAAGCGAGAAGCCAACAATTTATTACAGCATTTAAAAAAGGTAAAAATAAACAGATGTCAAATTGGAAACTAGTGGATAAAAACAGTTTATAACTCTTCCGAAAACATATTAAACATATAAAGAGAAGCGACAGCAGCTTATTTGCAAGTAACCCTTCTTAGGCAGCCAGTTTCTGAGGAAAAAGCTTTGCCTGAAGAGAAAGGTCTTTGCCAGCTGGCAGAAAGGCAGCAAAGCTGGGGCCAGCCCAGTCTCCCGTGGGAGGGAATTCCAGAGTCTGGGAGCAGCGACAGAGAAAACCCTCATGAAACACATGTGAGCGGGTGGAGAGACCAAGAGAAAGGCCTCCCCCCGATGATGTTCACAACTATTTATCTTATTATGACTGATTTTAAAAAATGCAAGCATTATGCATTAACATGAAGGCACATGAGTCAATCAGAGCGGAAAGAAACGGCTAGCTCTCTGCCCCAAGGAGATTACAATATGCATTATGCAAAAGCAAATATTTATAGTTTCATACAACGTTCTGTGCCTCCTAGGAGCACAGCCAGCCTCTGTGGCCTTGGGCACACTTCACAGTCCCAGGGCGCCCTCCAGAAGAAGAGGATAGTAAACCAATAGACTCTACTTGGGAAACCCTCATCATCATCACCGGCTTATAATCGCAGAGCTGGAAGGGATCCGATAGATCATCCAGTCCAGCCCCTCTTAAGGAGGCCCAGTAGGGGACTCGAACTCTCAACCTCTGGCTCCACAGCCAGGGGCCTAAATCACAAAGCTACCCGGCAATTCAGAGGGGTCACAATAACTCAGAACTGACTTGATGGCCTAGGATGATATTATAAGATGCGGGAAGAGCCAATTCGTCAGAAATTTGCTCAAACCTGTAGCAGCAAGCTGCCCACCAACAGGGCTTCTGGAAATGCAGGAAAGCTCACACTTGAGAGCACAGCACATCTGTATGTGTTAGTCAAATATGTTGGCAGACCTTTGTGTATGTTTACTTGGGAGTCAGTTCTGCAAACTGCTGCAAAGTAACCGACAGATCACGATTGCCAGCCAGTTTCAAAACAAAACAAATTTGTCCCTTTCGCACAAATTCTACAAACATTTTCTGTCTCCAGAATCCAGGTAGCTATTTCACAACAGGCAGTGTTGCACACCCCAGGCTGTTGTGTCACATACAGCCTGGAAAAGCAGATTTTTCATTTCTTTTTTTTCCCCTTCTTTAAATAAGTTTAATGGATTACATGAAATTATATGAGCATGTGGTTTGGGGCAAACAGCAGAGGGCTGGGGGGGGGTGTCACTCTGATTTGCAGACAGGGCGGTACATTCTTTTCCCCAAATGAAGTTGCGATCTTGCGGTTATAAACACAACCTCACACAGATCTCTGTGTGTACACAGACCCCCAAACCACCAAATCTGGATGTTTGCTTATAATAGTACACAAACCAAGGAATTTATGGAGATTCCCCCCATGCTGAGAAACACAGAAGGCTGGAAGAAGGGGGGAAAACATAGCCAAAAGCCTTAGATTCTTTTTAAAAACAAGAATACTTTGAGAAATAAAGTTAATGGTGATCAGCGTATATTATTTTATTATCTGTCCACCCTTTTAGAAAAGGAGGAGGAGAACCTAAAAATATAACAGAGAGAAAAAAGGACAGTTTCTCTTTTCCTGGAATACATCGTTTCAACATTCAAGATGCTAATCAACCAAAAAATATATATAATCACAGCCAGACTTAGTCTCCATAAACATCACAATATGCTTCTTCTTTTTTTGACGATGACACCTCCATGCTCAGTTATAACAGCTTCTATTAAATTAATGATGTTACCCACACCATAAATTAGGCAAATTGTATGCAAATACTGTTTGAGTAGCAATACAGCGGTTATCAGCTGCCTGCAAAAATAAATTAGTTTGGCAGGGTAAAGATACTGTGGAGCAGCATATTTAATTGAGCACTAATTTTATTGTGATTATTACTTTTAAGTAACAACAGTGAGGTTATTAAGTGACATAATGCGATGGTTTACACAGAGCTGATAAAACACTTCACAAGATCCGCGAGGCTTGTTTGCAGATTAATATTGATACAGGGTAATTTATGGTCCTCAGGACCAACCCTCAGCTGCGGCATCGTTTTAAAAAATAAAAATAAAATGAAACATGACAGTCATTGGGGATTCCCATCCCGGGCAATGGCAGAAGGTTTGGCAAAATGAGAGCAATTAGCTTAATATACAATCTTTATTATTTTATTCGTCAGTTCTCATTGTGTAACGTTCCAGCAAATCAAACAAGGGTCCCTTTGAAAACTCGCTGTATTTCACCGACATCTACAAGGCAGATCAAGTTTTCAAAATACGGATGATTTATTTACATACAGCAATCCATATCTTTTTATGTTGCTTACCTTATTAGTAAACTGCAGCCTTACAGACACAATCTGATTATATTATTATTATTATTATTATTATTATTATTATTATTATTATTATTATTATTATTATTATCCCGCCTCCTCCCTTGAAGTTACACAATAAAACACATATCACACCTCACTTGTTAGCTTGGCAAACTAAAACACCAAACCAGTCCGGACACGGGCAAACCATTTTCCAAATATTTCTGGGCAACAATGCATTTCTTATTTTCCAAGTTAAATAGCAAATCATATCACAACTTCTGTGTCACTCCAGCTCAACAAACATCAACCCTTCCACCTCCAATGTAAACAAAAATAAAAACTCTAGATGTTGTTTTTGTGTATTTTCTCACTTTCTTTCTTTCTTTCTTTCTGAAGCACATTTTTCTTCTAAAATAGATCAAAAAGCCTTCCGAAATGAAGTAAGGTCAATGAGACGGAGTGAACACCTCCAACCGTGCCTAGGACATCATTAGAAAGGGGTTTATATAAAAGTAAATAAAGCAAAACCCCACACTCTTCATTTGCGAAGGGGTTAGGCAAGGTGGAGAGGGAAGAAACTGTGGCAGGGAGTTTTTGAATTAAATGGAATTCCCCGCTCCCACAAAGGCCACCACAAAATTATACCTTTCAGGAAGCCAAAATGCAGAGGGATCTGTGCAAATAGGGTAGGAAAAAAAGAGGGGACGTTTAGGTTAATTCCTAAACTCCAATTTTATTGATTTTTTTTTAAAGAATTTTTTTTTTGGAACGTTTAGGTTAATTCCTAAACTCCAATTTTATTGATTTTTTTTTAAAGAGGAGGTGAGGGTTATTGTTTGGGCTGTCAAGGTACCCACAATTGCACCGACAGGCGCTCGCTGGCCCGTGGAACTTCACCCGCGGGCTGGAGGAAGCCGGGCGTTCGCCAAGCGGATGGAGGGGCGTAAGTTTTGGGGGGTTTTTTTGGAGGGAGGAAACAAACCCCCGCTCCTCTTTGCAATCCAGCGAGAAGAAGGTTTGGGGTCAGGGACGGAGGCAGAGGGCGAAAGCCAGCCAGCCAAAGCCGGCTCCTTCCACCGCGAGCGCCCGGCCGGCGTTTGGCGAGAGGACGCGTCCGCAAGTTGGAGAGCATCCTCCGGGCGCATCGGGCGCCGCCGCCGGGCGCTCTCCCTCTGGATCGCCCCTTTCCTTTGGGCGCCCGATCCGGGTTCGAGGTGACAGATCCTCACACACATACACACACATCGCCCCCTCCTCGTTATCAACACGGAAAGATCCCGAGATCGCGGCAAATCTGCATGGAGAGGGGGGAAAAAAGCACCGCGGCGAGGAGGCGAGCCAGGCAGAGAGAGGTAGGTAACAAAAGGCTTCCTCCCGACCTCGGTGCGCAAATAATCACGATGAAAGCAGAAATGACGGGAAACCTGGCAGATCGGGCAGAGAGAGGGAGAGAGAGGGAGCTCTTACCACGGCTGGTCCAGATCCCAGTCTCGGAAGAAGTCGAATAGATCCATCACGCTGGCGGCGAGGGAGGCAGGGCGCGCGCGGCTCCGGGAAGGGCTAGTCGCCCCCTTGGCTAGCCGCTCGCCTCCGGACTCGCTTCCTCCTTTCTTTCCTTCCTCCTTCCTCTTCCTCTTCCCCGGGTCCGCCTTTCGCCCCCCCCCCAGCCGGGCTAGGAGAAGTCCCCCGGGCAGGGCGAGGAGGCAGGGCGCGCGGCGCAAAAGCGCATCGGGAAGGACGAGCCCGGGGGGCTCTCCTTGCGCACCGCCGCCGCCGCCGGAGGCTGGGCTCGCTGTGCCCGGCGCTGGCCAAGGGGGCTCGCCGGCAAGAGGAGGAGGAGGCGACGGCGGCTTCTTCCTCCTCCTCCTCCTCCTCCTCCTCCTCCTGCTCGCTTTCCCTGCTGGCCTGGCTGGCTGGCCGGCCGGGAGAGACAGCCAAGCTGCCTTCGCTGCTGCTGCTGCTGCTGATGCTGCTGCCGCCGCCGCCGCCTCGCCAGCCCTTTCCCGGCTCAGCACCCCCGCCGCCGCCAGGGGAGGAGCGAGCCCAAGAAGCCGCCCCGGCTCCCAGCCGAGGATTTGGTCAGGACAGTGTTAAGAAGTTGGGACTTTGGCATACTCATTTAATGGCTCCAATTAATATCAGTTATTAATTATATATAGTGTGTTGCATTGGTAATAATTATATCAGCAGGCGGGAGGATGTGGCCGAGAGCGCCTCTTCCCGGTTGCCGCGTTCACACGCCACTCGGACGCTTCCTAGCGCACGGGCTTCGACCCCTGGACCCGAGTTTTTGGTGGCTGCCCGGGACGTCTCTTTCCCTTCCCGCCTGGTTGGAAAGGGAGAGCCGAGAACGAGGCGCCGAGAGCCGGTCTTTCCAGGGGCTCCATGCACACGCGCTTTGACTCGCAGCGTTCACACGTTCCACGCGCAGTGCCGGGCTTTCAGCCTGCCTGGCTCTCTTACTCCTCCTCCGGTCTCGGAGCGGGCAGAACAAGAGAGCGGCGAGAAAGCCTCACCGAGCGCCACCTTCTGGTCGCCTCGCCGCCCAGAACCGGAGCTGTCATTCCTTGAGTTCACACATCGTGTTACTCACTGCACATTCACATACAGGGTCGGCCTTCGGTTTTCTCAGATCTGTCCTCTGAATGATAAATGAACAAAGAGAGAAGGAGTTTTGGAACTCCACGGTCCGGGTCTTGGAGCTGAGTCCCACGGAACTCATCGGGACCTGCTTCCGAGCAGTTACGCATAGGATAGCACATTCACACATTCACTGGGAATCCCTTGAATAGCAATGTCCGTGTCAAGGCCTTTCTTTTGTGCAATCACGCACACTGCATGGTAAGGCTACAGGCCTAGAGATATTTCAGCAAGACTCCATGAAATGACTCCACCCAGCCATAGCTCTGCCTAGCTGTTATATTCCTAATCATAACATGCTGTTTAGCAAACTTCTGGATAGCTCAGTGGCTTACACATCTGGAGTTCAGTTCTCCTCTTTGACAGGGGCTGGCAAGAGATGAAATGTACCTCATTTTAGAGAAGGAGAAGCTTTTGATGGATTTGACTTTGTTAAGTCAAGCTATGACTTTTTAAATTTAAAATTCTTTCCCCCATTCAGAAAACAATGCCTAAATATCCCCAGATTTGAAACAGATTTCATAAGTTGAAAAGATCAGTCCTGCTTATCTGGAAAGAGAATGGTTGGCATTGCCTGCTTTTTTAAATTTAGAAATAATCTAAGCTGCAGGGGCTGAAATAGGGATTCTCAAAAAAGGTGTTTCAAAAGGGAAAAACAACTACTTTGTTGTAACACCAAGCATTCGTAGTAGAGTCTTGGCAACAGAATGTTCATAAAATAATGCAATGTATACATTCATAAGTAGGAAGGGAGATGAAGAGAAAGGCCTTAAAACAGACTGGAAAAAAAACAGGTTTTCTTTAAAGAGACAAAAACCAACCAACCAGATTTGCTTTAAAGAAAATAATGGAGTGACAGTCCTCCAGAGAGGGATATTTTGTCATTTGTCTTCAATAATGATTTTTAGTGGAAGTAAAAAAAGAAAATACCAAAGCAGGACTGCAGTTGAAAATAAAGAACAAAATCATGAATAGACAACTTTAATGCTGACAATGAAGAAATTGAAATAGTGAAAGATTTTGTATATCTTAGTTCAATCATCAGTCCAAAGGAAGACAGCAGCTAAGAAATCAGACAGGAAGTAATGAAAAAAATAGAAAAGAACATCAACTGCAAAGATATGTCACTAGAGACCATGACAAAGAACATCCATGCTCTTGAATTTCTGATAACCATGTATGGGTTGTGAAAGCTGGACAGTAAGGAAAGCTGATGAGGAAAACATTGATTCCTCATCATAAAATGTGTTGCTGGAAGAGAACATTGCAGATACCCTCTACTGAATAACAAACAAGTGGGTCCTAGAGCAAATCAAGAGGAAAACATTGATTCCTCGTCATAAAACGTGTTGCTGGAGGAGAACATTGCAGATACCCTCCACTGAAAAACAAACAAGTGGGTCCTAGTGTAAATCAAGCCTGAACCATCTCTAGAGGCAAAAATGATGAAACTGAGGCTGTTGTACTTTGGGCCCATTATGGGAAGGCAGGATTCTCTAGAAAAGACAATAAAGCTGGGAAAGGTGGGAGGCAGCAGGTGCAGAGGAAGACCAAATGCAAGATGGATTGACTCTCTAAAGGAACCCCAAGTTTGTGCATGCAAGAGATGAGCAAAGCTGTTGAAGACAGGTCATTTTAGAGAATGCTCATTCATAGGGTCACCATAAGTCAGTGGCAGTGTGATGGCACACAACAACAGCAGCATCCTCAGTAAACATTATCTCAGGATTTCTAAGATCAAACAGTCTACTTGCATAAGTTTTCAATGGGGAAATCAGCTCCAGGTCTGGGGCAATCTGAACTTTTGACCCTCTCAATCAATCAAGATGCAATTAGTTGACTATTCGCTAACTTTTTAACTCCTTCTTGGCCAAGCAGGCTTGTCAGAATCATGCTTGCAAGAAGATTCTGGGTCTGGTTGTAAAACTGGAGACACAAAAAGAAGAGAAAACATTTTTTAAATTATTACAGCCTTACAGACACAATCTGATGATGATGATGATGATGATGATGATGATGATGATGATGATATTATTATTATTATTATTATTATTATTATTATTATTATTATTATTATTATTATTATTATTTGCAGCTGGGTATGAT